TGCCTTTCATACAATTTTCTCGCTTATGAATGAAATCCGTGATTGTAACCTTTTAAATAAAATACTTTCATAGAATAAGTCATGACAGAGAAAAAACAAAATAAAATTTCCCGCACTTAAGCTTAACCTTGTCCACAAATTGGCGCGGAAATTCCAATTGGCAAGTTGGCATTTTCACAAAATTCATTTTTATTAGCGTTTAATCGAGCCTGAGCTCGATTCCGAATGAAAACAAAATGAAATTCAAATGTAATATAATTTCATAGTTGTTGATGCTTTGATACTATTATTTCAAATAGAAACGGCCGTCTTTCAAAGAAGAAGAAGAAAAGAAATTGAATTGTTGGCAAAACAAATTTAACACACGGATCATCGTTGGATCCCATACGCTCATGAGAGACAAGAGACAAAAAGTGTTTTGCAATCAATCGTGAATTTGACGCATTCACACATATCCGGTTCGGCTGTTCGAGGGCTGTATATAGTGTTTGTATGTGAAAAGGTGTGTTATTCGCATATATTTTGAATTTACCGCTATTACATTATTCACTCATTGCCTTTTCAGTACATAACTATAACGCACAATGCGCAAAACCACAGTCATTATTACTGTCTGGATGTTGAATTTCTATTACGCGATTTCATTTTCTCTTATTCTTCTTCATGTGAGAGACTACCTGAATTTTACCTTTTAGTCATAAAAAAATTTATACCCGCGAGTAGACAAATTCCGTTTGCTATTGTCGATTCGCTTTTCATGCGACCAAAACAAAAAAAAACTGCGTCGCCAATCATAAGCCTATGTTAAGCGAATTGAACTGAATGACCCGCCAAAAGTGAAACACATGAACGGAATTATTAAAAAAAAAAAATGAGAAACTGTACCTTATAATTTCAATTGTGTTGCACATTTTCTCTACATAGAGCAGCCGATAATTGTTTTTCAAAGAAACAATCGTTGTCTTGCTTTACATTTTGTCGTCGTATCGCATCGAAAATTACCAGTCTGCATCGAATTATATTTTAACATATATTGAATCTGTTGTAAAGTAACGATAATTCGCTTGATGTTAGTGTTAAACGGAAGAGTCAACAATTGAACCAAAAGTGTTTTATGATGCATAAACTTTCGTTTTTTTGGTAAATTTTTATCGCTTTAAGATTACATTGAACCGAGATTTTACGTACATGTTTTCTTTTAACGTACGTGCTATTCTAACCGTTATTTAAATCAAAGTTTGTGGTTTTTCGCCGGGTTCGCTTTATGCTTTTCAATATAAATTTTCAATATTCATATTGACACATTTCACTCTGGAAGTGCGAAAAAAAAGACAGACTCAACCATCCAATCTGATTTGACGTCTGTGTCGCGGCGTATCTTACATTTCTCTAGATTTATTGCACGTATATACAAAGTGACTGAATGATTGTAGCACAATTGTAATCTCTTTGCATTGTACTGAATGGTTTATGCCAACACATCGTGCGCACATCGTGCTGTTTATTGTACGAATAAGGAGATGAGAGAAAGTCGACTTATTGAGCAAGTAGACAAAGACTACATCGTGATCGAAACAAGTGAGCCGAAATTATTACCGCAGACTTGCATCGGGTGCGGTATTACGCAATGCAGAGGCGATGACGCACAAACGAACTCATTAAGGAAATCGGCTTTATTTATTTATTTTTCTTATAAAAATAAAATATATATATATCTACGATATAAATAACATATTATGCATGTGAAATCATGAATATTTTTTCCATAACATTCGAGAATGAGATCTAAAAATAGAAAGTAAATTCTTCATTTCCATAAATGTACATTATAATGTGTGTCTTTTTTTTCTCGAATTTTTTTCTTCTTTTATTTAAATTGGTCATTTTTACGCACTCAAATGCCGATCCGGATTGAAAAATTTAAATACTAAATAGCCATAGTGTATGCACATGCACGCACAACCCATCTTCTGCGAAACATGTCGTTAAAATGTTTGTTAGCGTACGGTGAGTATGCCATTGTGTCAATCCGTCTTGCTTGAACGATTACAACGAACGAGAGAAAAAAAGCACACAAACTCAACAATAACAAAGCAAACGAAATGAAACTTGAAACGACGAAAGAGAGAAGAGCGAAAAAAAGCGTATTTGGAATAAGTAGAAGAAAAGAAAAAGAATATGACCAATGGATATAGCCCTGACCTAAATAGAATTTCTCTCATTTAACTATCTTCTGTGGTTAAATTCAAACTGTGATAGGTGTCTATCGCTTTGTTTGTTTGGAATTGAGTACATATCTAGTTTATTTATTGGTTTGTTTTTCCGCGTTTTTCTTTTCTATTTTTGGACAAAAAAAATAAAATCTCTTTCACTGTGTGTGTGTGTGTGTGTGTGTGTGTGTGTGTCATTGAAAAGCAATAAAAAAATGAATGGGCAGCCAAGAACCAAAGAGTGTGAGAAAATGAGAAAATGCATTCGAAACTGGTTCTAATTTCAAGATGAATGCGCAGGCCAGATTGTTTTGCTGATGGTTTTATGTTTCTTTCATATTTTTTTTCTATTTCAAATGACGTCCAAAACCTTTCGACAGCGATAAAGTTAATTGGTATCGCGTTATAAATATATACATTGTGAAATGTATGAAGTAAAATTAAGTTCTTCTCCTTCTTCCTCGAAAATTGCTTTGCATCTATTATCTAGAGATTATTGGACTTCGATCATTACGAGATCTTATGAAATTAAAATTCAATGGCATCTATCAGAAACAGACAGTAAATTTATCACCCAAAAAAACAACAGAAAAAAAACTTTCACCTTAAGAGTTCTTTCCTGCCCATGAAATGTGATGAGAAAGTGTTCGGTGTGTGGTTTTTTTTGAAAATCATCGTTTTACGTAAAAAAGACACGAGGCGGGTTACCTATATTTATTATGAATATATGATTATAATATGGCAAGCGCATCGTCATGTATGCATGATCCATCGAAATGACTTGAATAACTTCTCGAAAAATATAATGTATAGCATTTCATTATGTAATACGATTGAGTGAATCATCATTATCGGGCGTTGTGAACGATATACCATGGGTCTTTAACCGTAAATACTTTTCAGATCTATTTCCGTTTGGTGTTGCAAAAAAAAGAAGCAAAACGACGCGCAATTAAGAACAAACGAAAAAAAACAGCACACAACCAATTCGCTGTGGTTATTCCGTTCGAAAAAATTTTTAGCAACAAAATATAAAGCAAACCATTCATCATGCATTTTCTCTCACCAAGTCTCTGTATATCTCTGTATCACGAATTTCCAGTTGTGTGATTTATGAATTTTTCTAACACACAAAATCCACATCAAAAATTCTTAATGATTAATGAAATTGTGCCGTTGCGTTTCATAAAGTGCACACTGCACACCATCATTGTGTGTAATCGGTTTTTATTTCATATACACATTGTTGTTGTGGAAAATGAATTCTATACTCGCAATCGAAATTGGTGCAGTTTACTGTTTTTTTTTTTGTTTGGTTCTGAATTGAGACCGAACACACGATCAAAATGGAATTGGCCAAATTAATAGGAGAGCTACCATTATTTGTGTGGTCCAACTTAGAAAAGTAAGGTCAATTTGGCCAGCATGTAATTACGCAGAAGCGTATACCGTTGTCTGGGCTCGTTTCATTTTAATTGTTTGCAAGCAATTCAATTCTTCTAATGAATATGTGTCGACATGTGATTAAAGTTTGCATGTTTATCATATGCGCTGAAGAAAAACAAAATGCCAACACAAAAACAAAAGAATCCATTTCGTTTTGTTTTTATCTAAACACTGCACCATATAAAAATGCCAGAAGATAAAAAAAACTGTAGTAATATTATAAAATAAAATTACTTTCTCGTTATTCTTCTTTTATTCGGTATTATAGTTTTTTGTTGTTTGCTGCTTATGCATTGGAAATTGTTCCGAAATGGGGAAAAATTATTGGGATTTGGCGCTGAGAGTGCAAAGATAAAAAGCAAAACAGAGATGAACACAAACGATGAAAAAAAATTAATATACAAATTGCTCGATGATGATTACATATGTTGAATTGAAATGCTTTGCCTTTTGTGCCATTAACATTCGTGGTGCAATGATGTACTGGGCTTAAACTTACGCACAATGCATGTATTAAATTGCGCTCGTGCCTTAAATGTGTATCATGACACGATTTTAAATGTTTATCTTTGCTTTTTTTTCGAACGTTCGTTCGATGGATTTTTAACGCGATTTTTACACACAATTGATTTGCCGAAGAGTTGTACGATTTAATATTTCGTCGGATATAATTGGCCTACGTATCTCGTCTATGGGCAAAGAAAGAGAGTTAATAAAATAGTTTCCGAATGAGTAACAGGTGTGTGACTCAATTCGCATCCAGTAATGGAATTGCCAAAGTAATCTATATGATACTTGTGAAGGAAAAAGAAGAAAAAAATACCAAGTACAATAACAATAATTTCTCAAAGGTGGTTTTTCGGTTTTGACTTAATGGCGTATGACTCGTTGATTTTGTCACCTTCGTTACATTATAATTTAAAGGAGAAATCCAATTGTTGTTTAATCTGTATGTTTGATTTTACTTTCTTTGTGTAATTAAATAAAGAAAATAGTAGCCGCAATCACACACAATAACTCTAACAACAACAACAACGAAAATCCAATGACATTGGGATTGAATCAGATTGGTGTGGCCAACGAACAAGCGCACGTGTACACACCGACCGATCGTCCACGGTTTACACAATTCGAATAAATTTGTTTGCACTGGCCTATGAATGTGAATACGATCGTGTCAACGTAAAAGCGGCAGCGACTGAAGAAATGGAAGATAGCGAAAGAAAGAACGAACGAAAGAAATGCTTGCTTGATGGAGAGATGGTATCATGGAGATGGTGTAGGCCCATTGATGGTATGAAAAATGAATCGTGCGTGATCAGTATAAAAGCCTCAGCAACACCGATCAGTGATCAGAGCATTTGCAAACGTTTAAACGTACAGTTTAACTGAAAATCACACCGTTAACATTTTAAAATCGCCGACCAAGTCGTGTACAATATCTATCTCAACAAAAAAGCAACATAAACAAAAAATCCAAAATCAAAATGAAAGTGTTTGTGGTATTATCAGCTGTTTTGGCTATCGCTTGCGCCGCTCCAGGTGCTAACAGTGTTAACGATGAATCATCATCGTTCCGTAAAATGTTTGCCAATTGTTTGGGAAGTGAAGATACAGTGACATGTTTATCAGTCAAAGGAATTACAGCTTTGAATCGTGCCGCTCGTAGTGCAAGCATCGAAATTTTGCCAGGAGTTTCTTTCAATAGGTAGCGAACAATTTGCTTTCAGAATAAACGACGCTTTAACATTTGTGTTGTCAAAAAAAAAAAAAAAAAAAAACTGAGAAAAAAAATTGTCATTCCATATTTTTTTTTGGTGTGCCTTTTCAAAAGTGTTTAATTTTGTTAATTGCTGAAAATTTTCTATTTCTTCTATTCAGAGATCCAACCGTTTCGGCTCGCAATGCTAAAGCAATTTCGGAAAATGAAATCGTCGACTCACTACCAGCTGAAGAATCGGAACGCAGTGGTCGTCTCTTCGATTTGGCCATGGATTCATTGTCGAACTTTGCTCAATCACATTCGTTGGAAGTGAAATTCCCAAAAGAGACCACACAACATGTTGCACGTGCCATCGAAGAAGGACGTGGTAAATTGAAGAAAGTTGCCGGACCATTGTTGTTGGCTTTTGGTGCAAAATTGATTGCTCTCGTTCCATTGTTCTTGGGTGGTTTGATTTTCTTGGCAATTAAGGCTTTGGTCGTCTCAAAGATTGCATTCATTTTGGCCGCTATTCTTGGTTTCCAAAAATTCGGTGCCGCTGGCAATGGCTTGCTCAGTAAAGTAACCAACGGTGTCAATGGATGGGGACAAGGTGCACAAACAAGTGGATGGTCATCGGGATCAGGTATTTCACAACAATACCCATATGCCAGAAACTATGAAAACGCACAAGATTTGGCCTACAATGCACACGCCGGCGAAATTCCAGCCGCTGAACAATAAACTGTATCGTTGACACACACACGCACAAAATTCCCATTTCATCGTTAGATCATAACAACCGTTTTTATTCACATACAAAAAACGATATGAAGCACGTTGTGAGTAACGAGAAATGGCGAACGAGGAAAAAAACAAAATCTAGTATTTATTTAGATAATCGAGAAAAAAAAAACTACAACAAATACTACAACGACATCAACAAGAAGAAAATACGCAGAAAATAGAATCAATTTTTTTTAGTTTCAAATCATGAAGTAGAAGAAGGTATCCAACTATATCCAAATATGAGGTAAAATACTAGCGTTGCATGTGGATCGCAGCACAACCGATATTTTGAGGTACTGTACATAAACAATCAATATTCGCCGATCCAACGATGCAACGCAAAAACAGTCAAATACCAAAATAATAGAGTTAATAATTTAATTGAATGCAGCTTAAAATGAGAACAAAACTTAATTGGTGTAAAAAAACACATTTACAACAATTCGAAGTAATTTTTCACAGAACTTTTTTTTTCTACAAAATTTGTATTGTTTTAACGTCATCTGAATCTTCTTTTTTTTTTCGTCTAAACAAAAATGTATTTTGAATCGATTATTGTTTTTTTTTACCATAAATTTATTTATTAATTTATTTTAATTATGTGTCATTAAATTATTCAATTATTATTTAAAACGAACCAATATAAAAAAGAGAAAGAAAAAACTAAAAAAATACGCATTTTCATTTAAATACAATTTTCTATACACTTTTCCTCGTCTAGACTGGCTTGAGTGTGGAAAAAAAAAAGGTTCAAGTCTTTGGAAGGAAAATTTTTTGTTGTATTCGGGGTCAGTTCAAGTAAAAGTTTGTTTAATACATTTGGTATTTACATGTCGGTCGACGCATTGTTGGTTTTCATTTGTATTTCTTTGAAATGGTTGGTTTTCATTGTTGTTGGGCGATTCTTCAAGAGAACGCGTGCACAAGTACGTGTATTCAAGATATAAAAGTTTAATGAAGAAAACCAAACTATTAAGCAATGTCCGAAATAAACAGTATAAGCGCAAACAATAGCAAATAAATAACATCGCACATCTTTTGTATGAAAAGTGATCAATGTTGTCTATGCACGACGTGTTGGCTTTTTTTAGGTCTTCAGGTTTTCGAAAAAAAAAAAAAAATAAATAAAACAAACCATTTGAGCGAGAGTAGCGATGAAAAAATCATCCGAGATATGAGCGAATATTGTAAAGTGTCAGAGAGAAAAAATTTAGATACGGTACTGAGCATACAATTGTGGCCACATGAGTCTATAATTGAGTTAACCGACATTTCTCAACGGTAACACACACGAACACACACAAAATGTGATCCAAAACAAACGAGAACAATGTTGAAGAATGCTTTTAATTCACCAAAAACTATGCTATTTATGGATAAAATGTTGAAAATGATGCGGCGCTTACACCACAATTACATCGGACATAATCATTCATTTAAAGTCGTCAATTTTCTCAGGCAGGTCCGGGAAATTTTTGCCGCATATGCCTGCTCATTCATCATTTCATTGCGGAGAATTCGTTGTTTTGTTTCACACACACATATATGTGTGTGTAGTGTGTACGCTTTTTTTCCCATTAGGAAAAGTAATTTTCGAATTGCTTTCGAATGGGCTGGCGCAAGAATACGAAACGGCATACATGCCAAGCCTTATTGTTGACTCACACTCGACTAACAATTAAAATGATAAACAACGGCATTGTGTACAATATTGGCCGCACAATGAATGAATACACACAGCTTGTGCATAAAAGTAATTTTATGGCAGCATAAGTAGAGTATCCGAAGTGATGCATAACAAGTGTAACGTGCATTTAATAAAGTCGCTGCTGCTTAAGAAACAAACAATAAACACATTGGTGGCTCGTTGTTACAGCGCCCGAAAGTTATCATTGAACGACTTTTCTAATACGTGCATTTCTTCGTCGTATGAATTTGAGTCACTGCATGGAATAATGGAATGCATGAAGACAAAAATGAAAAGAGATAGAAAAAAAACGCAATTTCAAACGCAAACCTAACTGCACATACAAACATCAAGTTCGTCACACTGTCTTTGCACCAATAATAACAAGTTGAAATGACATTGAATGTCTGCCGTGGTGGTGCTCATCGCATTGCTTTGCATCGACCATTGTGTCGATTTAAATGCCTTTTATGTAAATAACAGAGTCAGATGCAAAACACGTGACAGACTTTAGCAATTGAATACTGTCTGCAACCACTATCGGTGCACGGTAGTTCAATCAATCCAAATGTTTCATGTGCGAGCGATTTCTGGCTGACACATATATTTGTCTATTGCAAAATTTCAGCACACTATTTTTTTATGCGTGTGCTGGAAATTCTAATCGCATGACAACATTCTAGCCATTGTTTACTTTTATTCAACAAAAATATTGTCGCTATCTTCAAATCCATTCTTCTTCATCGCCGTTTTTTCTTGCAAAACGTAAATTTCTTTTCATTTCTTGTCTGCCAATTTTTTTTATACTTTTTTTTTCGTTCGATTTGCACTAGAGCCCAACAACAGCTTGACTAGTATTGCACGTTTTATTGTATTGTGTTCGTGGAATACTAAAAATCTGATTCAAAAGACAATTAGTTCGCTAATTGGATCACTCATTTTTTTCAATGCTTTGACGCTTTTCGATTCCGGAATATGGAACTCGAAGAAAAACGCGCGTGTTCAATAGCTTAAAGTTCTAATCCCAAACACTCAGGTATATTTTAATGAAACCGAAATCGAATAGGTTTCTAGGTCACAACGTACGTAAACATGTCATCCAACCACGCTTTTATGCAATTTAAAAGAAAGCCACCATTTAAATCAGTCAACTCAAATAGCTTGAAACTTGTTTGGATTTTGGATTTTCTTCTTTTATATTTGGTCGTTAAATTTACATTTTAATGCTATGTTACGTGTATGTATTTAAATTAATCGGAAGCTGAGAGCTTGAGATGAATCGAATCGGATTCAATTTGGGCATGACCGTTTTTCAATTTCCGTAGCATTTGAAACGGTCACACGTGTATGGGTATTATCTGATGTGTCACGTGTATATATGAGCTCATATGAGCTGTTCTAATGATGTAAATGCATTTTGGTATTTATAGCCATTTGGATTTGGTTACATTCGGTTAAATTCGTTTGATATCGAGTTTTGAGATTTGAACTCTCACGGCCTTTCCATATCTCCCGATATACATGAGTAATGTAATTAAAAAAATTCAAATCAATGCCAGATAATGGATTTGGGATGTCAAAGAAAATACAACGGCCCATGAGCCACACTAATTTATGAGAAACAAAACAAAAAATTATACGAAAAGTTGAATTTGTAGAATTTGATAGTCAATATACAAAACGACAACGCACAATTAAAGAGAAATTTGTGCGAATGAGCCAACAAGCCCGAAAAAAGTACACACACCAAATGTGTGTGTGTGTCGATTTTCATGATTATGTCCCGTCATTTTGTGCACATTCACGATTTTTTCTGTAGTTTTTGCTTGTACTTTACGATTTCGTCTCAATTGACTGAATAAGTTACTCTTATAAACAAACAAAACTGTTGTTGGAATCATAGCTGGCTTTGTGCGTTGCCAATAAATAAAACAACCGCCACTTATCTTCTCAGAACTTTCTTTTTCAGTTGCATTGTGTGTGTTGGCATTGGGCGACAATAACGCACGACTCGCGTAACTAATGAACTGTTTTGTTCCATGAATCGGCATTTAATTTTACTGGTGTGTACACTTTTTTATTTCTTCTTTACTTTATCGAGGCATTTGCAATAGAGTTCTCTTCAGTTGTGCATAGTTTTTGGTTTTGTTGACAGCCATCCGTCAATACACCATTTCGATTTGACGCATCCACTTTGCGGTATTTTGAATATATTTGTTTACCGATCCATTGTTTTAAACCACAAAAAAAAAAGAACTCAGCAGCAAAATACAAAAAAAGAAGACCAAAATATATTTTCAATTTCCAAAGCGCGAGATGATATTCATTGCTTTTTATTTCTTTCTTGTGTTAATGTGAGTCTTGAAAATGAAAATGAGTAAACTTTCGCACCTCAAAGAGTAATTGACTTTTGCGTTTGATTGGGTTTTCAAAACTTCGGTTTTGAATTGCTTTGAAACGATGAAAAACTAAAAACAAACGATTCATCACTTTTCAATTTCAGTTTGGGTAAGCTGAATAACAATCGAACGAAATGAGATGAGATTGAAAGTCTAATGATGGTTTGATTAAAAGAATTGGCAGCGACTTGATTTAGGATCTCATTCATTTGATCAAACAAAACTTTTTTGTCGTTTCTTTCTTTCTATCGTTCAATGAAAAACCTATCGACGTCAAAAATCCACTTCAGTATATACGATCGATCAAGAAAACAAGAGCATCACAAATAGAACAACAAGTGTGAAAAAGACGAAGAAGAGAGCAGAAAAAAAATACAACAAAATACAAATATTTTGCAATTGATCAAAGTAAAAGTTTTGCGTGTACCAATTTACACGTATCGAATACAGATCGAAATGAAACATCGCTATGCAATTGAGAGCAACAAACAAAATGGAAGAAACCGTCTTTTTTTGGGGCGGAATATATGCTACATATGTAAATTCAATCGGGCGAACAACAAAAATAGACGGCTCGATATTTAGGTAATGTTGACACTAGATATAACATCGAATTTTAACAAGTGCTCGCTGAATGTGCGTGCACATTTGTGCTCATACATTTACGAAATTTCATGAGATCATTCATTTGTCTTGACACCTTCGGAGCGCGTTTTAGGCTGCGCATCAAGTTTCACTTTAAGTCAATTTTACATTATATATTGCCGTCATTTAGTTTTGTTGCCGATAAATTTTTTTCTGCGCCCATTACTTCTTCCGGATTGACATACCGCGATTTATGTTTATCATGGGAAAGTTCGCGCAAATAGTAGCACATACCAAATGGAATTTTTGCGTCATCACAAGTACACACCTTAACGATTCGTATGTTAAAAAAAATAATGCACATTCCTACAACAATTGAATAGAAAATGAAATTTGGGTTGGTTGCATTTCATCTAAAAGCGATAATGACCCAAGCACGACCAACAAATGTTCCTCGAAAAAAAAA